TATATATATATATATATAAGTACACCTCATTTTTTTAAAAAAATAATTAAATTTCTAAAATATCCTTATTTTTTTTTTATTTTAAATTTTACACCTCCAATATTCAATTTAGCATTTTTTTTCTTCTTTTCCACACATCTCATTTCCTCCTCTTTTCAATTTTCACATACACCCCTTACCTTTCCCCCACTCCACTTATTTCAATAGGTAGTTTTAATTCTTTCAATTTTACGTTACTCTCTTCCCCCTTTCTCTTTCAATTTTTACACTATTATCCTCTCCTTTTCTTCTTTTGATTTTCACATGCACTCGAAATATAGACCTAGTTTTTGACAACATTATAGGTGTGTTTTTCTTTGATCACTTTCCCTTATTTACATGTCTAGAAAATATAACATCAAATAGTTTTAATGTTCTAGAAAATACTTTTCAGAATCGTAAAATTAATGTTCCTAATAATATTTTATAGAATTATGTTTTTATTATACTTCCATAAAATACTTTTTGAAATTAATTATGTAAAATAACACACTTCTAGAAAGTACTTTCCAAAATATTAATTTTACTATTTCAAAAAATACTTTTTAGAAATGTGTTATTTTACATAATTTTGAAAAGTTTTTTCCATAATAGTAAATTTAGTATTTTAAAAAGTACTTTCTAGAAGTGTGTTTTTTTACACACTTCTGAAAAGTACTTTTTAGAACACTAAATTTATTATTTCGAAAAGTACTTTTTAGAAGTATGTAAAAAACATAATTCCAAATTTTTTTTTCTGGAACACTAATTTCATTATCTTAAAAAATACTCCAAAATAGTGAAATTAGTGTTCTAAAATATCTTTTCCATAACATTAAATTTAATGTTAAGGTTTTTGAAGGTATGAAAGGGGAGGAAGTGTTGGAGGAAAAATGTGCGTTTAACTTGGTAGAAACTATCGAGGAAGCCGCATGTAGCTACAATGCCGTCGCGCACAAGTTCTACAGTTCAGGTGCATGTGAAAAAAAATGAAAAGGTGAGGGGAAAAGAGAATAATGTGAAAACCAAATAAATAAAACTATGTACTAAAATAAGTGGAGAATTAAAGGAATACAAAGGAATGCATATGAAAAATGAAAGGGAGAAGGAAGAAGGTGTGGGGAAAAGAAGAAGAAAGTAGTAAATTAAAAGTTGGAAGTATAAAATTAAAAAATTATATAATAAAAAATTAAGGATATTTTAAAATTTTTTGAAAAAATAAAGGAGATGTATTTATAAAAAAAGAAAAAAAAATATATTATGAATCCTATTTAGTTTATAAAAAGGATCGAGAAAATATTAAATATTAATTGTCATATCATCTACTTCTTCATACTAGGAGTAACTAACCATTCAACTAACTTAAATTATTTAGTTTATAAAAAAGATCGAGAGAATATTAAATATGAATTATCATGTTATTTACTTTAAATTAGACTATGTTTAACATTACAATTATAATAATAAATGGATGAATATTTAATTGTTAGACTAAAATTACATATTTTTATAAAATTGAATAACTAAATATGCATAATTAAAAATTAGAGGATGAAATTACATATGAAATAAAGATACTCAAAATACAATTTAGTCTTAATAATTATATAGAGATTACAAGTTCATAGGTACACTACAAGGAAATGACTTATGCCTACACACAAAAAATGTCACTAAAAATCCGGAAATTGCAAGTAAAACTATTCAAGATGCATAGTCCAAGGCAAATACTCATAAAGTTATCACCTTTGACAGATCAAGCACTAGATTTCTAGTGGAAGAAACGCAACATCCGAGAGAAGTTCAACCCACTGGGAGATTTATAGTAAGGCTAGATGAAATGTGGTGTGATTGTGGCAAGTTCCAGAAAGTTCATATCCCTTGCTCGCATGTACTCGTTTCATGCTTACATGCACATCACAACCATGAAACCTACATATCTCCCATATATACCTTACAACAAGTTGCAAAGGTATACGAAAGACAGTTTGGAGAGCTCCGACATGAAGATTATTGGCCTACTTACACTGGTTCAACTATGTGGCCAAATCCAGAACTCAAGAGGACTTCCAAGGGTCAGCCAAAGTCTAGCAGGATTAGAACAAAGATGGATATTAGAGAACAACATAATCGTGTAAAAAATTGTTCCTATTGTCATACCTCTGGTCACACTAGGAAGACATGTCCAAATATTGGTCATGGATTTAGTTCTCGTCACCATTGATTTTATTATTGTAATGAGTTTTAATAAATTTATTTAGTTATATTTATAATGTTAATATTCAATAAATTTAATTACTTGATGTTACTCTGAGACTACATTGTGTTTGTGTTGAAAGGGTAAATTGTGTTCGCTACAATGCTAAGTTTGAAGCTAGATTTAAAGAAAACACCTTTGAAGTATGAAACTATAGTGTCTTAAACTTAAAAACACGAGATGATAATAATGGGACCTTGTCTTAATAGATTCGAAACTTGTACGAGTCAAACTGTAACATTATGATATATTAATGCAGAAAAATAATTCTTATACTTTAAACCAATTAAAGCTTGTTGTTTGCGAAAACTTTTTTGGATAAGCTATAATCATAAACGAAATTAGTCTCTAATCAGTAAATTGGAAATATCCATGACAAGACAAAAAAAAAACTCCTCTTGAGCTGAAACTAATGATTTCTAAACACTATAATTCTTTGGCTAAATTAATTGCAGGCACAAGCAATTGGAGATGGAGGAACTAACTACATCTTGGAGAATTTAAAGATGAAGTTTGTGTATGATTACATGTTTCATCTCTTAAATAGTTATGCAAAACTATTGAAATTCAAACCAACCATACCCCCAGGAGCTGTTGAGTTTTGTCCTGAAAGCATGGCATGTTCCCTCCGTGGTCTAAGGAAACGATTTTTGGTCGAGTCAATGGTGACATCACCAAGTGATACACCTCCATGCACAATGCCTCCTCCTTATACACCCCAAACTCTCGAACAGTTTCTGCAGGAAAAGGAAAATCTGATGGAACAAGTGAAGACTAGGAAGATCAATACAACGCAATAGAGATTGGTGTTCATTGTGTTAGAGTCTGATTGAATTCAAGTTTAGAATTTTTTTTAGAGTTTATTTACAAATTTTGTTTCTTCTTATTTTCAGAAACACTAAAGGATTCTTCCAAACTTGTATTGAAACATGAGCTTAGTCTATATACGTAGATGTAGTTATGTATGCCACACTATATATCAATTAGTTGAGCATTTTTTTGTTAATTTATATAAAGTTTTTCAGTTATATCTTGTTAATTTGGATTATGACATGAATATAAAGCAATGTAATTTCCTAAATATTTCGGACAATACATCCTAATTTGGCCTAATTCAAAATCGAGATTGTATCTTTCTCTTTTAAGAAGTTTAGGAAATAAGTAAATTGTAATTTTGGTCTATAAAAGTGTTGGGATGGGTAACTTTTGCCTTTGAAAGAAGAAACTTGATGAAAATGTCCTTGAAAATATGATTCATCGGTTATTTCAGACTTTATATTAGCAGTAGTAAAACGTTAATAGATCAATTTATGTATCACATTAAGTGTTACACCCAACCATTACTACTGCTTGTCCTTCTCTGCTCAGATGTGGGTGTAACACCATGCAGTAATTAATGGCTATGATAGAAAACGGCAAAGGCAAACATTCGGTAGAGCCCAAAAGATTAAAAAAATAAAAAATGATGAGGCTTGATGTGACCCAATATCAATTGAGGCCCAACAACTCAATTGTATCCTCCTTTTCTATTTAGAAGGTTTTAAATTTATTTAAAAGCGAGGGATATTTTATGGTTGTATTCTAACTTTTTTTCCCCCCAAAAACTCAAAAGTTATACTTCAATGTTTTTTGTTCTTTACCAGGGCTGAGCTCAACATAAGACCATGGGAAACAACATTAAATAATATAAAAGGAGGCAACAAGATAGTGCAATGGAAAGATAGGGTACCCTATGCTTTTTGGAAGGGCAACCCTGCAGTGTCTAATATTAGGAAGCAACTCGGCAAGTGCAACGTCACAGAAGAACATGATTGGAATGCAAGAATATATGACATTGTAAATATATAATAATTCCAACCCTGCCTTTTGTTTTAAGTGATTGCATTAATTATTTCAAGATGAAATTAACATAATTTTTCTTCCTTTTTTTCAGCAATGGCAGAAGGAGAAACAAAGCAATTTCGAGAACTCAAAACTTGAAAATCAATGCAACTTTAGGTAAATTCTTTAAGCACTTTGTATGATTTTGATTTTTTTTTTTTGAATAATTACTAGGGGTTAATATAATTATGTCTGTGTTGCATTTTGTGATAAGATATAAGATCTATGCAGAAGGGGCCACGTGGTCTGTGAGTGAAAAGTACATAATAGCATGTGACTCAATGACCATGTTCATAGAGCCAAAGTATTATGACTTCTTTACAAGAAACATGTTACCTTTGAAACACTATTGGCCTATCAGCACCAAAAACATGTGCGAAGACATTAAGTATGCAGTGGATTGGGGAAATACTCACCTTGACAATGTAATCATTTTCTTCCTCTATTTGCTCCTAAATGATTCCTATAATTTATCTACCGTCACAGGGATTTCTCTAACTCATTCAACAAGTGATTAATACTGCTCATAATACTATAACTATTGTTAAGTTGACATATTTTTATACATGACAGAAGTGAAACACAAATTTCCTGTTAAATAGATCGCTCTTATGATATATTAATGCAGAAAAATAATTCTTATACTTTAAACCAATTAAAGCTTGTTGTTTGCGAAAACTTTTTTGGATAAGCTATAATCATAAACGAAATTAGTCTCTAATCAGTAAATTGGAAATATCCATGACAAGACAAAAAAAAAACTCCTCTTGAGCTGAAACTAATGATTTCTAAACACTATAATTCTTTGGCTAAATTAATTGCAGGCACAAGCAATTGGAGATGGAGGAACTAACTACATCTTGGAGAATTTAAAGATGAAGTTTGTGTATGATTACATGTTTCATCTCTTAAATAGTTATGCAAAACTATTGAAATTCAAACCAACCATACCCCCAGGAGCTGTTGAGTTTTGTCCTGAAAGCATGGCATGTTCCCTCCGTGGTCTAAGGAAACGATTTTTTGGTAAAAGAACTTTAAGGTGTATCGAGTTTTACCTACACCAAACAAAAGTAGGTATAGATTTTTGAGTTATACCTACATTAAAGATTTGTAGGTAAATTTTTTTTTTTTAATTTTACCTACACTAATTCAGGTTTATAGGTAAAAGTGTCTGTAGGCATAGGTTATTTTTTTTGTAGTGGTATTAAACAAAATGAGTGCACATTGATGGGAGAACCGAATAAAAGCAACTTGTATCGTGATTAATGTCTGAACTAACTTGGTAAAGTTGTGGCCAAAATTTCTAATAGCACAGTACTGAGTGAGACTTGTTATATACCTATCTTTACAAAGCCACCCCAAGCCCGCAGGATTGCGTTATTTGGTCAATTAAGAGTTTGTCTGATTTTTATTACACGAACAAATGATCGATTCATTCCTCTCCATTAGGCCACACACGCGCACTTTGAGATCCAGTTATTTCTGAATAGGAAAAATTTAAAAATAAGCACCAAACCACCAAGAGAATACAGAGAAAATGGAGCTGTTTCACAATTTCAGGAAGACCCAGGTTCATTTTTCTTGTCAAATTTTGTTTTAGCATAATTGTAGTACCCAAATCACTTTTTCGTGTTCAAACTCAATGGCTCAATATTGCTTCTATTACACAAGCAATGATGATAACTTCTCACAAAATCCTTATGGTGTGTTTGGATGAGGAATTTATATGGGGTAATTCATTTATTTGAAGAATTTTAAATTCTTTGAGGTGAAATGCTTTGTTTGGATGATAAATTTACAAAGAATTTGAAATCCAATCATTTGTGAAATTCCTTAAAATAGTAGAATTTCAAATTCTCCCAAAAATGGGAGAATTTGAAATTCTTCATATTTGTTTTTCTTATTTTTTCTATATATTTTATCTTATCTCTTCATTTTTTTAATTATTAGATATTCAAAAATATTTTTAAAATTGTTAAACATTATCTAATATTAATTGTTAAAATTATTAAATATTATCTAATATTAATTTTTAAAATTAATAAATATTTAAAAATGGATTAATATTTATTTTTATAAAATTTAATTTAAAAATCTCAACATATAAATATATTTTTAAAATCAATTTTACTATGATGGAATAAAATTATCATATTTAACCTAACAATTTAAAATTTAAGAAATTTGAATTGACTCATCCAAACAAAATATTTTAAGAATAATAGAAATTGAAATTAAAGTAATTCAAATACCAAGAATTTAAAATTCCTTGAATTTGTAAAATTCTTCATCCAAACACACTATTAGACTTTCTAGTTCTTCAATGATCTGATATTCAACACTCAACAGTAATTTCTTTTCTGAAAATATAATTAATCTTATTGTTTCCAGTTTTCTTGTTTGATTTAGTAGAAATAAAAAGGACTTTTTTAACCATTATGTTCGTCTCATAATCTAATAATACATTGCCCTAATGACGTAAGGAATTTAAGTCAACGAATGCAGCAAATGGAGCAAACTGCGTAAGCTCCAAAATTACACGACTTTGATAGTTTAACTAACAATTGTTACATCGGCCACCCGATGCATATCAATAACACATGATATCAATATCAAACATTGCATATGTATTATTAATTATAATGAATTGGTTAAATAAAGTGAAAAGATGTTCTAACTGCAGAATTTGCAATCTGATTTATGAATTGTAGGGGAAAATGTCAACGTACATAAGTAATAGGAAAGTAGATATTTGAAAATCACGAGGGCTTTGACTAGTATGATTAATTTTGATGAAAATGGAATAAAAGCAATAAGAAAATGAGGGAGAGATCAGGTAGTTAGAAAGGCTAATCGAATGAGGAAGAAACACTCGTCAAGCAAGCAATATGTTAATTATCGCGTTGTCTTAGTCCTAGCTAGTAGATAATTAACAAAATATGTATATATCTTACAAGTAAACCTAATCATTAAATAAATAAGATTACGTTAGAAATTTACCCAGTCAGTTTACATTTCGAGACTTGGCAATTTTCTGTTACAATAACCATGCATGAGCTTTCGAAGTGGTTGATCCACTTATTCTGGCTTAAAATAAAATCACTTGATGGAAGAAAAAAAAATTCCATCAAAGCAAAAGGTTTACTTTTTGTTTTTTTTGGCAAGCAAAGAATAATTTATATTAAACATGAGGTAGAAGGGTACCTCAACCCTAGTACAAAACATCTGCAAGACATTGTAATTTTTCATCCTGATAAATCTACCCCTCTTTGAGAAACTCTTGACTAACATTCCTTAATTTTTTTTTCCCATATACTTTGTTAGTGTATTATAATCAATGTTATTAGAATTGAAGCGAACATCAACACGATCAATATTCACTTCGACCAAAATATTGAGTGATAAATTATTAGTTGAATCGGTAGATTACTCTGTATCAACACCTATATAATATAATGTTTAAAATTTTAAATATAATTTATATATTATTTGTGTCACATTATAACCGAGCATTATGTTAATGATGGTCTAATGGTAACTTAAAGTGCCTAAGAAATTGGGTTCTGGGTTTGATTTCCATATACATACAATTTTAAGTTCTATATTTTATATTAAACAATGTTTATCAAAAGCATGCAGCAACTATAATACCACACACTTGGCCACACACAAAGGTCCTTGGGCAGCAGCACAAGTCACTGCATCTGTAAATTCATAAGCTTTTTATTTATTTATTTATTTATATAAATATCTATCATTTTCAAACACTCAAGTGACACTCAATATTTTTTTCTAACAGATATTACTCTGATAAGAGGATGCCGCCAGAAAAAATATTTCTCACTTGTAAAAATAGTTATTCATAATCAAGGTGATAAGATTTTTTTACACATTTTATATTTTGCTTTATCTTATAATGACTCATTTGTAAATTATTGTATTTTATTTTTTAAAAAATTATACTAAAAATTATTTACAATATTAATTAACCAACTAATATTTTTTTTTTAAAATTTTGTTTTAGAAAATTAGAGAATCATCTGTGCACCTTTTTTTCTAATCTACACTATTTATACTAATATATAAAAGATGCTTTGCTCGGTAACTGCTTTTTTTCCTCCACATTTATTTGATCATTATATTTCTCAATTATTAAGAAAAAGGAAAGTTAAAACTAAAAATTTCTAATAATTATTTACAAGTAAGAAGTGTGTTTCTTTCCTTGGTAACCTATACTATTAATATATATATATATATAT